GATTATGATGAGACCAAAAGTATACAAGCACTTATTTCCCCAAATCCTTTTATCAGCACTAGATAATGTGAAACTTAAATCTTTGTCCATCTGAAGATGAAAAATGCTATCTACTTATTTTAGTATGCAGTTCCTTAATTATAAATGTCAATTTATAAAGACTTACTCTGGTTACTGCTGGGGAGGGGAACTGGGGGTTACTGGAAAAATAATGAACTTGGTTGGGAACCTAGGAAAACCTGACAAACCAGACCTTGTTACAACAGGAACTAAAACAGTTTCAGAGCCTACTGTTCTTTCCATAGGCTCTTAGGTAGGGCTTCTCTCTTTCTGAGGATCTCCTCTGTTCTTTCTCTGGGCTGGCTTTCTCTGCTTACCCATCTTGCAAAAGATCCATAATAGCTGCTACAGTGGAATTTTTATGCCCTTTCTTCCAATTTTTGCACCAACCACCAATTTTCAGTAATTTTCCCCCTTCTATTTAAAATCTTTTGCAAGAGAATCAGATCTGTCTCAGCTCTTGGCCAGCCCATGACTTAGCTGTTCTTTAGTTGTGTCTACCCATGGTCTGATCAATTATGTATGATTTGATGTGTGGGGGGGTGTAATATAATATCATATAAAATATAATGTAGCTCAGAGGCCTAGGCCTCAGTAGAGCCCTTACTTAGCACATGGAACGCCCTGAGTTCAGTCCCCAGGACCACCAACAAAACAAAACAAAACAAAACAAAAAATACAGCTTAGTGGTCTACTGTATTATGTGGCTTTTATCTTCATGTGTCTTTAGGGAAAAGAGAGAAGGATGTAGGTCAGAGTTCTGAGCTTTATTTCCAGGCCTCTATCTTTGTTTAGAATTCAATTTATCCTCTCAAATTATAGTGTTTCCTTTTATGTGGCTTGTTCTTCAGGCCAAATTGTGTAGATTAAGCTTGAAGCCCTCTTCCTTTATGAGGATTTTGCCTCAGTTTTTATCCCTGTCAACACTCTGCAGCTGTTATCTTTCTACATTTTATCAAATTTACATGTCTTGTGCTTCTATTAGATTAGTTCAGTTATTTTCTTCAAACAATAAGTGGTTATAAATTTACTTTGGAAAATTCTGATTAGTTCTTTTTTTTTTTTTTTCTTTTTTGGGTACTGGGGATTGAACCTAGTCCTATTTTGTATTTTATTTAGAGACAGGATCTTACTGAGTTGCTTACACCTCGCTTTTGCTGAGGCTGGCTTTGAACTCATGATCCTTCTGCCTCAGCCTCCTAAGATGCTGGGATTATAGGTGTGGGCCAGTACACCCAGCCTGATTAGTTCTAATTAACATTTTAATAGACAATCAATTAGAATAGGAAATATCTAATATATCTTGTATTTCATGAATCTTTTGTTTCAGTTGGCATGAGTCTGTATGTTTTTACTGGGTCATATGATGCAAAATATATTAAAATTTGAAAAATACCATATTAGATTGTACTCTTGAAGATGGTGTATGGTTTTATAATTTTTGTGACTCTGGTGCCTGGAATTGTACAATGGATGCTTCAGAGTATTTTTTTTTTTGTACATTTAATAATGTGGATATTCTAAGGGCTTTGTGAGATTGGATAACAATTTGAGTTCTGATATTACATTTTTGTTTTGCATTTTTTCAGAAAAATTTAACACATATGTGACCCTGAAAGTACAGAATGTGAAGAGCACAACTGTAGCAGTTCGAGGCGATCAACCTTCCTGGGAACAAGATTTCATGTTGTAAGTACTTTGCAGCCAGCATGCCTAAGTATTCTGTAATCTTTCTAAGGTTATGGCATCATATGAAACAAAAATTCTGTGCATACCTAAGATTGACAAAAAGTGCGAACATTGTTAAATATTCTTTTGGAAAACTAAAACCGTAGTTATAGGAACAAGTGAGGTGTGTGGTAGGTGAAGTATATCTTCA